GCATCGGCGCGGCGCTGCTGGGCGCCGCCGAGGCATGGCTCGCGGAGCAGCTCGGCGTGCGCACTGTCGTCGTGCTCGCGGGCCACGACACGGTCGGCTTCTGGCGCAGGCGGGGGTACGCCGAGGCCGCCCCGCCGTCCGGCGCGCCGCTTGCTCGCCGCGGGCGCAAGGGGCGGCGCGGTGACGAGGGGGCGCGGCCGGCGCTGCTGCCCGAGCAGTGGTCGCTGGTGAGGGACCCGTTTGGAAGCTCACAGCCGATGGTCAAGCAGCTGTGAGGCGGCGGGCGGGCGGAGGGGGCAGGAGCGCGCGCCGCGAAGCGGGCAAAGCGCCGCCGCGCCGCAAATGTGTGCATCTCAACGCGAGCCCCGTGTACTGTATAATGGTGTGGTGGGGCAGGCATGCATCTTGCATGTCCATGTGTGCGCTCGAGAGAGCGCGAACGGAGAGAGGGCGCGCGCGGCACTTGCCACTCTTTTGGCGGAACCGTGCGTATGTTGGGTGTTCTAGTTTCAGAATTTTTCTCAGCGTGAGCGAGACGTGGAAGAGTGCCACCGTCGGGTAGGAGACGGGCACGGTGCGACTGGAGCTTGTTCCACTTTTCCCACTCATCAGGCCGCCTTTTCGAATCCCTGTTCTGCGCTACAATTGTACAATATATGCGCTCCGCGCCCCCCCCTAGCACAGCGCCGTCTCCCCCGCCGTGCCCGCGCCACATGTACATGTCACCTCGCACTGCCGCGCGCGGTTTCCCTGGTCCGCCTCCCCCCCGGCCACTCGGCTCTACGCGCCCGGCGGGCTCGGCCTCGCAACTATGCGTGTGCGGTGAGCCGCCCCACCGTCGGGCGCGATCGGCCTTTGCGGCGCACAGGATGGTACTTCCCGATTTATGTGGCGCATACCACCGCCCCCCCAACCCTCAACACCCTCATGGCAAGCACTATGCCAATTATTCAGTGACAGAAAAATCGGTATCTCACGGAATCCAACCAAAACCGCCGCAGGTCCGGGCGGGGCCGAAAACGGCCGTGCTGCCAGAGAGCTACAACGTCGAGAAGGTCATCTCGTGGCGGCAGAGAGCTGGGGGGATCGAGCTTCTGATCGCCTGGGAAGGCGACGATGTCGATGGTTGGACGTGGGATCCCCTCGACAACATCCCCGAGCGGTTTGTTCGGGCCTTTCATGCGCAACGCCAACGTCTCCCGCCATCCTTTTTCTACGTCGTGACCATGATGCGCGACCGGATCGGCTTCAAGCTGCTCGAGAGGACCGGCCCGATGTTTGGGGTTGCTGTCCTGGTCGAGGAGGCCGCCCTGCGCGAGTATGCTCTCGCGCTGCTGCAGTACTTCTCCACTCCTCGGCAGAGGCGCACGAGCTGGTTGTGCACGCGAAGAAGACGCTCAAGCAGCCGTGGGCGGCGGAGCCTGTCTGGCACCGCCTGCGCGCTAGCGGCTGGTGCGACCAGCTAGTGCCGCTTTAGTAGAATCCGTCCGTACCCGCACAGTCTAGCGCGTGTGTGTGCCCCCAACGCCCACACACACGTGTTGTGTGTGTTCTCGCTCGAGAGTTCACCAGACAAGCCGAGGCATGTTACGGCTATAGGAGGCGGGCGGTGGGGTGCAGCTCGCGTGCGGGTCGCTGTCACCGCCCTGCCGAGCCAAGCTGTCTGAGGTCGGCAGCGCGAGTTGGCTGTGGCGTCGCAGAGCGCCTTTGCCGGCCCGCGCACTTGGGGCGAAACAACCCGCTCCCAATACACAGTGCCGCGTATCCTGCGCCCGCCGCTTGATATGGCCCATCCGGGCGCTGCGCCAGCAGGCGGCGACCTGCGGAAGTGAGTGGCCGAGAGAACGATCCGGTGCTCACCCGTGGCGTGTGCCTACTCACTCCGCAGGCGCTTCACTCGGCCCAGATCTGGTATGAAAGGACCCGATTGGGGCTTGGCCGGAGCCGGGACGACTGTCAAAAGGCCGCCATAGTGAGGCTGAAATTTTGCCCCTCTCATTTCCGCACCGTGGGTCGGCCCGGAGTATCAGAGTACGAGCCGTCGTGGCGGTCGCGGCGAGCAGCGCCGGCCAGTCGCCGGCCACTCCGGCGCCGCGTCGGCAACGACATGGGAGCATGTCCACCGCCACTTCACGGTCGCAGCGCTGTTTGTCGCCCAAAACGCCGCCTATCCCTCTGGCGGGCCAAAGATCGCCTCGCATGTCGATTTTGACTCGACGGGCGCATGGAAGCATCACGTCTCCATGCGCCCGTCAAGTCGGAGCCAGTCTGCGGCGTCCACAGCATTCATTCATTCATTCATTCATTTCATTTCATTCATGCCCAGGCGGCGAGGACGCCGTTGTGGGGCCGTCGTAGACGGCGTGTGGACACGTCGCATCGCCGCGCCCGTGGACATCGCATGCGACACGTGGACATCGCATGCGTGGACACGTCGCACCGCCGCGGCCCGGGTCGGCCACCAATCTATTTCAGTGCCGCTTCGTGTGCGCCCCCACCAGTCGTGGCGATCGCCGCGGCTCACGGCCAGCCTCCTTCGTCCCCTCGATGGCGACGATCGCGCGCAGCTCCTCATTGTATTTGGTTGCGTAGACGCCTCCGATGCACGATAGGACGTGCCACGCGATGTGCAGCGGCC